TTCCTTGTGGGGGAAGGGTTCTTTCCTCCCATTTCTGATTGGGACTAAGCCCAGAGGGCCATCCGCCCCAGCACACCACTTCCTGCAGGCAGCACACACAGGGGCGTAACTGCCTTTCCAGCCACGTGGGGTTTGGAAGTCTGTGTTAGGAAGAAGCATTCTGCAGCATTCATTTTGTTGTTAGTAAAGGGGTATTTTGGTCCAATATGCCTTCCCTTTTATGTCAGAAATTAGGATTTTGGGCAGGAAAAAAGGGTTGTCATTATCAAACTCCCCTTGAAAACCCTCAGCTTCCACTCAAGGTCCTGGACTGAAATTCTTGTCACAAATCCTTTTTCTGATATAGAATTATTAAGTTTTAGCATTAGACAATTAACCTAAAGCAAGGATTCCTTTCCTAGATGTCAAAACTGCACCAACCCACCCAGGAAAGGTTCTTTTCTTTTTGCCTCGTGTGTCTGGCGAGCCTCAGCCTGTTTGTGTTCCACAGGACACCTCTCCCACACATCCGTCCTCGCTTTCACCTCGTTTTCCATCTCCTGAACATGCTCCTCTGGAATCTGAGCTCATGAGAAAGCTTCCCCCACTGACCCTTCCTGCCACCTTTCTTCAGCATCACGGTCACGGTCAGGGTCCAGTTCCTCTTTCCTCCTACTTTAGGGCCACGGTCTCTGTTACGTGGCTTACCAATGCATTTTCTTCCAAGGTCTCGGTGTCACTCAACTCACAGGTTCTCTCACTCTGGAAAATGTTCTGGTTGGGAGCCGTCTTTCCCCAGCTGCTTCCCGACTATCCTCTAGGACATGCTGACTGGTATGAACCAATTTAAAGCCTTGTTTGATTTTCTGAATTGCTGATGACAAGCAGATGAGAGCACAATGGGAGTGTGCATCTGGCCCCTGCACCTATTTTGTGGCCAGCATGACAAGCACACCCTCCACAGCATCCCCAGACAATAACCCCTCCCCTCTCCTTTGAATTCACCCCAACGGTCGCTGGTGGGACCTAACATATTGTCCCTGACACGGTAATTCTAAACCCACTGTAGTAAGAGTTTGGTTGTTTTTTCTGGAGGGTGCAATGCAGATCCATCCTATGCTATCAGAATCATTTTCCAAAACAGAGTCCTGTCCCACTCAATGACCTATGAAATCACATGCATCGTCTTCAGCAAAACTCTTAGTTCAAAAAAAGTATTTATTTCCATTTGTTTGAAAGGCAGAGAGACAGGGATAGAGAGGAATCTTCCAACTGCTGGTTTACTCTCCAAATGCTCCCAACAGCCACGGCTGGGCCAGGTCAAAACAGGAGCCGTGAACTTAATCTGTATCTGCCACGGTCAGGGACAGGGGCCCATGTACCTGAGCCATCACCTGTTGCCTCTCAGGATGTGCATTAGCACCCCAAGCTGGAATGGGAATCAAGGTATGTCTTGAACCCAGGCACTTTGATATGGGATGCAAAGCACCAAACAACATCAACCTCTGAGCCTAATGCCTGCCCCCTTTTATTGATTAAACAGTTGAGATTCTTAGGGGCAGGCATTGTGACACTAGTGCATAGTCACTGCTTGGGGCCTGAACTGATCCCTGGTTCTTGGCTGTAATGTGACCCAGTGCTGGCTGCTGCAGGCATCTGAAGAGCTAACCAGAGGATGGGAGCAGGCAGGCAGGCAGGCAGGCAAAAAGCTCTACTAGACAAGTCAGCGGGGGCCGGCCCAGTGGCGCAGCGGGTTAACACCCTGGCCTGAAGCGCTGGCATCCCATATGGGCGCCGGTTCTGGTCCTGGCTGCTCCTCTTCCAGTCCAGCTCTCTGCTGTGGCCTGGGAAAGCAGTAGAAGATGGCCCAAGTGCTTGGGTCCCTGCACCCAGACAGGAGACCCAGAAGAAGCTCCTGGCTTCGGATCAGCGCAGCTCTGGCCATTGCGGCCATCTGGGGAGCGAACCATCGGACAGAAGACTTCTTTTTCTCTGCCTCTCCTCTCTGTGTAACTCTGACTTTCAAATAAATACATAAATATTAAAAAAAAAAATCAGCTACTCTCTGATCAACCCACTTTCCTTCCATCCTGGGAATGGCTGCCACCTCCTTCCAAGCACCACCATTCCTGCTACTCAAAATGAGCTAACGAGGCAGGCCCTGTGGTACAGTGGGTGAAGACACCGTCTGTGGCACTGACATCTCACATGGGTGCCAGTTCAAGTCCTGGCTGCTCCACTTCTGATCCAGCTCTCTGCTAATGTGCCTGGGAAATCAGCAGGAGATGGCCTAAGTCCTTGGGGCCCTGCACCCACATGGGAGACCCTGAAGAAGCTCCTGGCTTCAGATTGGCCCTGCTTCAGCCATTTTGGCCATTTGGGGAGTGAACCAGTGGATGAAAGGTATCTCTCTCTCCTCTGTAGCTCTGCCATTCAAAGACATACATAAATATTTTTAAAAATGTTTTAAAAAGGAGCTAATGAAGCTACCATTCAGAGTAAAACATGTGTATGATGCAATAGTACCCTACAGAAACTCACTGTGGAAGACAAACACAAATATTCAGAGCAGAATTGCTCCTAACAGCAAAAATCTAGAAACAATAAAATGTCAGTAGTAGAACAGGTAAGCTATGGTATAATACTGTATGGAATACTATATGAACAAAACCACCCAATCAACATGGGAAAATCTTATTTATAACGTCAAGTTACACAAAGGGGAGGGGGTGGCCATATACTTTCCTTATATAAAGTGCAAAAAAATGAAACACGAAACACACATTTACAGGTTGACTGTTAGAGGCCAGCACTGTGGCTCCACAGTTAGGCTGCCTCCTCCAATGCCGGCATCCCGCATGGGAGTCCCAGTTCAATCCCTAGCTACTCCACTTCCAATCCAGCTCCCTGCTTACGCCGTGTGGGGAGATCAGGATGGAGTTCTTGGCTCCTGGTTTTGGCTTGGTCCAGCGAGTGAACCAGTGGATGACAGATCCTTTTCTTTCTATCTTTCTCTCTCTCTTGTCACTCTGCCTCTCAAATGAATAGAAAATAATTTTTTAAAGGTTTATGGCTAACTTGGCAGAGAGGTCTGCCAGTGGGGTAGGACAACAAATCAAAAAGATCGATAGAGAACGACTACAGACAAGGACAGGAATGCTGACAACTAGGCAATCCTACAGTATTTAAATGGCATCATCTCTTACGTCCACAGACTGATAGTCTGGAGACTATGGAGGCCACACTGCCTGGGCCTTATCTGACAGGCCCTGCTCAGCTTCCCCTTCCCCAGTCAGTGATGCCACCCTCCTCCCAAAAACACAAAAGGACCTGGGAGAGGCACCATGAGACTCCTGGCAAATGGCTGCTCCTACCTGACAGAGTAATCAGGCACAGGTCTTGCACATTCCTGCTGCAGGGAGTTAATCATTCTGGGTTAAAAGCCCTTCCATCTCCAGCTGAGCCGGAGAACGTGAAGATCTTGTTACAATCAATATGGCAGTCAATGAAGCATCGCAGGTGCAAAATGACAGCAATTTAAAGGCGAGGCAACAGCCTGCCAGAAACTGCAACTTTCTGAATCTGAGTAACTGGAGGAAAAAGGCAACTATAGATCTAGGGCCTGGGACATTTATTTATTTTTTATGTATTTATTTCTTTAAAGATTTATTTATTTATTTGGAAGAGCTACACAGAGAGAGGAGAGGCAAAGAGAGAAAGAGAGGTCTTCTTCGCTGGTTCACTCCCCAGTTGGCCACAACGGTTGGAGCTGTGCCGATCTGAAGCCAGGAGCTAGAAGCTTCCTCTGGGTCTTCCCACGCAGGTTCAAGGGCCCAAGCATTTGGGCCATCTTCCACTGCTTTCCCAGGCTATAGCAGAGAGCTGCATTGGAAGTGGAGCAGCCGGACTTGGACTGGCGCCCATATGGGATGCTGGCACTGCAGACGGCGGCTTTACCTGCTACGCCACAGCGCCAGCCCCTGGGACATTTATTTATCAGAAAACTTAGGGGCTGGCACTGTGATGTAATGTTGGCATCCCATATGGGTGCAGGTTCGAGTCTCAGTTGTTCTACTTCCAATCCACCTGCCTGCTAATGCCCCCTGTGAAAGCAGCAGAAGATGGCCCAAGTCCTTGGTGCTTCTGCACCCATGTGGGAGATGGGAATAAAGCTCCTGGCTTCGGCCTGACCCAGTCCTGGCCATTGTGGTCATTTGGCAGTGAAAACAGCAGACGGAAGATCTCTCTAAAACTCTGCCTTTCAAATAATTAAAATAAATGATTTTTTTAAAATGAGTTTCTCGGTCTTCTTTCTCTGTTGACATTTACTAATGATTGCTCCTACAAAGTGGTTAAAATGGATATAACATTTGAGGCTGGTGCTGGGACACAGGGACACAGGCACTTTTTGTTTATGAAGTAAAGTAGATGTGTGCTCAGGAGATTTACTGAACCAAAGTCTCACAAAGTTAACTGTTTTCCTAAAAATTCCAATTTCAAAATTGTTCTGGGTGCAGGTGTTAGTGGTTAAAATGCCTAGATCCCACATAGGAGTACCAGGGTTCAAGTCCCAGTTCTCCTTCTAATTCTACTGCCTTCCAAATCCTCCAGCACACCCAGGAGGCAGAGGGCGATGGCTCAAGTATCTGGGTCCCTGCCCAGCTCCCAGAGTAACCCAGAATCCAGTAAATCTCCTCTTTACCTGTGCTGTGAGCCCTCAAGTACTATCCACAATTTATAAAGCAGTTTTAATTACATGCAATTAAATCAATATGGTATTAGAAAAGAGATCTAAAAAAAATAAGGCTTTTCATGTAAAAACATCTACTTTTTTATATACAAGAGGCAATAAAGAATCAGATCTTTGACATTTTGTTCTAAAAACTGTGATCCTTGGCATCTCAATTTTCCACAATTTTGATCAGAAACTGTACTGTGTCTCTGTCAATAAAAACCAGTCAGCTAACAGCTGCTCACCACTGCGCCATCTTTTGTTCTGAGTGTGGAAACAAGCTGCTTACCTGGGGAGAAATAAACTGGGGAGGCACTTGCGCCCGGAGACCAGGAGAAGAATTCAGTGGCTGCACTGGTGTGTGCAGACCTCTCGATTGTGCTGTGCTGTTTCCAAACAAGCCGTGATTACCGCCCTGCAAACCGAACAGCGGCAGTGAGGGCTCCTGTTCACATAAGGCAAGTAAGAAACAGTCCTGCTTCCTATCTCCCAGACGAATCATGCACTGTGTCTCATGGAACCACAGGACTCTCACTGAGAAGTGCTCATTGGGGAACGCTCGGGCAACTACTGAGACCCAGTCACAGGCACAACACGGCCATTTGCGCAGCCCGAGGAGCTCTGCGCTCTGCGCTGAGAGGGTTCCGTTTCGTCCAGTGTTGGAGGCAGCACTGCAGTCCCTGTTCTGAGATGAACACGTACAGGCAATGTAACACTGATTCCAACTTCACTCCATTAAGATTCCATTTACCATATTTATTCTCAAATGTTTCCAACTGAGAGGCACCTGAGTAAGGATGCGGCTCAAGAACAACACGGACTGTAGACGCCCCTATGTCCCTGCCTCTCTGCACTGGCTGGCTCAACCACAGAATTGACACCCAACAGTGGCCCCAGAGCCATGAGGACTTACTCCAGATCTCCACACCCTTTCCTGACCCTTCCTGCACCAGATGAGAAAATAGGAATCATTCACACAGGGAAATTAAAAGGAAAGGGAAAAAGTAAATATCATTACAGGGATACCAAACAAATGCTACTCACCTGTGACTTCTCATTCTATCCTATGAACACCAGTCTAGTTAAAAGTAAACCATCCTCTTATTCCTGGAGGAGCCCCTCATGGAGCACTCTGCCGCTGCAGAGCTGGGCTGACAGCAAGCCTTCCCTCCTGACTTGTTTCTAGCCGTGAGAATCCTCCAGCAAGGCAATCACATTGGCTAACTTGATGCTGCGTGGGGTTCATCCCTGCACAGCCCTTACTTGGTCTCAGTGAGGCCCCGCTCAGAGGTCAGCTTCCTCAAGGATGTCTTCCTGAGAAAGCTTCTTCATCCTTTCACAGTGAAATTAACTGAGCCCACCTCTGTGTTATCCAAACGCTAAAACTTCAATGGAACCCGTCATCAAACCCTATTGCCTGCTTGAGTTCTCTGCATCCCCAGAACTCAGTGAAGCCCTGGTCTGTAGGATGAGTACATCATTTGCAAATGTCAAAGACCCACCAATTTCAAATTTCACACACTTGAAAGAGCCCCCTGAGTCTCCACCTGTTTGCACCGAGTACAAATGCTCTAAATAAGCTGAAGTCACCACCTTCCTCTGATTCCTTGAACCATGGCGATTGAGGTAGCTTTTAAAGAAGAGTTTTATAATGGCTTCATTAAGTTCTAGAACTCTAAACATATCGTGATGGCTTAATGATTCAAAAATAGATTAAGGGATTGCTATAGGGAAATTAATAAACTTAGGAACACTGAAAATAAGAATGATTATAAACATAAAGCAGAAATGGCAATTAAAATTTGTGTAACTTACAAAAGAAAAAGATCCACTATGAACTTCATAACATCCAAAAGGTTGTTTAGACATAAGAAAACCTTTATTTAATTCTAAACTCCTAGTCTCCCTACTGCTTTTGCTTAGCAATCAAACTGTCACTCTAAGGTAAAACTGCTCAACTCTGAGTCTTCTTAGACGTGGCAGTCAGCAGTTGCTTGGCTACTGATCAAGCCAAAGAAAACAGGAAACATGTATTCCATACAAATATTCTCCTAAGCTCTTTCTCACACTTACTAACAGAGGAATGGCCCTGCTGTCAAATGCCAGTTATTCACAGGGTCCTTGGATGTCGGAGCTGCTGGCAGCTGAAGTCCTTGCCAGAATCAGTGTTCTGGCAAATACATAACTGTATTAATTTCAGTCTCTCTTTTGAAAAAGAAATATTCAAAAGAATTCCTTTTAAGAGTTTTTGTAAAACCAAGCCCTGGTTTCTCTTTCCAGTAGGCCAGATTCCACCCTCCCCTGCCAAAGGTGTGAGGGTTCCCATTATCCAGGGTCTCAGGCCACACCAGCACTCTGCTACATCTGAACGGGCGACAGTGTAAGAAAGGCAGCAGCAATCTATCAGAAAATGTCTTCTCTGCACTCGAGGACAGGCACATCACAAGCTCTTCATTTTCTTGGCTCAGACACAGCTTTAGGTAGCGAGGTAGGTGGAGGCAGTCTGATCCAGCCTTTTAAAAAATATTTAGAAACTGGGAAGATGGTTACCGAACACTTGTATACATGCTTATGTGGGGTTCAGAGGCTACTGTTAAAGTGCCCCAGTCGTATGTGAGCTCCTATGATGAGCCGAGTCTCACTGGTGAGCTGCTCATGGCTGCACTGTTTCACTCAGGCAAGGCTAAAAAAGGAACCACAAAGCTGACTGAAATGCTCTGAAGAATCAAAGTTTAAAATTCTGTTTTTAAATTATGAAGTATATTAACTGTGCATGAAAACAGTCTAAAAACATGTCTATCTGGGCAGGACGTGTGCTCCACTTCACAACCATCTTCATTGCAATCCACAGATCAAAAACAAGTGTGGACTCTCTCAGAGCTCAGTGCTTCGCTATTATGACTGGTCTGTGCATCAAGGTTGTGTACTAACAGCTTTTGCTGATCATGCAATCGCAGAACCATGGTGTTAAAAATGATTTTATATTTTCTATACCTTGCGCCAAAATAAAACAGCCCCCAGTAGATAGATGTCATTGTTTCTTTCCAGTTTAGATAATTAACACACCCCCATGTCCTTTGTGGAAGCATTCTAAGAAAAACAGTGAGATATAAAAGAAGAAAGCAAAAAATTACCTGGAGCTCCCCATCCAGAGCTAGCCAGCCTGAACACAGGGATAGAAGAAAGCTGCATTTTATCATGTGCTCAGGCAACAACTAGGAAAGCCCAGGGAGGCCTGTGCACAGCCGCACTGTGGAGTTATCCTCATGTGGAGAGAGATGGACACATCTAACGCTTTCACGTAGCGTAACTCATGTCCTTCCCTGAGACCTTGAGGTAAAGGTTACGGTGACAAGCAAATGATCAACTATGGGCGGGAAAAGTCACTGCTGAAGTTACAGCTGCAAAGGAATTATGGCTCTACTAATTCCAATGTTCTCCACACAAACTACACCAGACTGCGGTGCCCGACAGAGCCCTGCTGTGGCCCCTCAGGCCTGTGAGAGTGAGGAGGTCCTTCCAGCCCTGCGGGTTTCCCTTCTACTGCACAGCCCTTCCCTGGAGCACCGCTCGCCCAACCCTAAGAAAGGGGCTGCTTGAGGGCCAGTGAAGCCCCACCGTGTCTGAGCAACATCCACTCTTCTCAAAGCTTCCGCGGCTATTAAAGTTACCCTCTCTGGGGGGGAATTATTGTATTCTTAAGCTTAAATACCAGATTTTAAGATGCAGTAACCCTCAAATGCTTAACCTCATCGGCTTTGCTGATTTTTTAAAAACTAGTAGGTTCATGAAATTCAAAAGACTTTCAAAGTATTTATCTATCATCCAGTCGAACGTTAAAAAGAGCAAATGCATTGCTCAATCAGATCACTTAAGGTATCTCTGTAGCCTCTTTAACAATTTCCTAAGTCAGTTCTTAATTTATTAATGTTAACTTATGACCAAAAATGAGAAGACAAAAGAAACAGGATTAAAATAAAATCTATGTCAAGAAACATGAAGAGAGATGGGTTCTATGGGCTGAACAATCTAAAACCTACACCTAATTATCATTCTGTGCATTCAGTAATCAACAGATTTCCCAAGACAGACAAATGATGCAATAAACTGCAGACCAGGGCCAAGGCGAGGCCAAAGCCAAGCAGTCACAAATTTGAGAGGCCTCCTTACTTGTCTAGCAGCGAAGTTTTGGGGGTTGAGCCCTGTGCCGATTGCTCCAAGGCTGACGTTGGGTAGTGTGGAACCAGAGGGAGACAGCTTGTAGCTGGGAGAAGGGGAGAAGGGAGAGCAGGGAGCCTCATCCCCAAGGCACCCATCTTGATTGGAGAAAGGCAAAGTCAGCTGAAAAGTAGTAGGAGTGAGCCAATCACAATGAGTGTTGGTTAGTGAAGCAACAGAATGCAAGCGGGGAAAGAGAGAAACACGAGGAATAAACAAAGTTAGAGTGTATTAGCAACAACCAGGCTAGAGCTGGGAGCTGGTTACCATCACACTTGGCCTGACAGACACCATCTGTCGTCCTCTTTGACACAGATTTTCCTCATTCTCGAAGTTACTCACATGGTCTGTCCATTGCACTAAGACAAAAATTGCCAGACACTGTATTTTTATGCATCTAATATTGATGACTCCAAGTGGCTGCGGAAGCGGAGCCAGGGTCTCTTCTTGTGAGTATACTGTGTCTGGACCAGAGCAATGCTGTCAAAACTGTGCCAGATCTAAAGATTTTGGTTTTAACTACTTCCTCAAGACCAAGAGCACTGCAAATTGGTATTCTGAATCGAGGAATAACCTCTTCCCTTAGAAACAGTAAAATCAAAACCAACAGGTATAAATTACTTGTTAAATCAGGTATTTAAGAAGTACCACTGTAACTAAATACAGACGACTAGGGAAATGGGGAAGATTAACAAGTTTTCTCAAATCTAGAAGGCAAGGCCTCAGGAGAGCAGGATCATTTGCACAGAATCCAATTTAATTAGTGGCTGCATAGCAGCAGAGAAAACAATGCAAAGTAAATTTCTCCCTAAAATTTCCTTTGCATTTTCTGAGAGCGCATTTCCCCTGCTACAAATTGTCAAGCAATCTTCCCTCCGGCGAACTTCACAGGTCTTTCAAACGGAGCTTGCCTGCTTCACAGTACTCCTGTGCTGAAACACGGACTCCCGCCTAGTCACCTGGAGCAGCAACTGTTCCCATGTCATCACGTTAATGCAGGAGATGTCTGTGTTCTGCTCACTTCTTCTATGTAATTCTATACTTCTTCCAGAACCAGTGTTATCAAAGCACAAGTGGGAAACAAAGCAGTTCTCACGAATGATTATCTTAAATAAAAGATTCAACTCACCTTCTCAAAATAAGGCCCACTATCTGTGGTTCCCATGTCTTTGGAATTAGGTGGACGGAACCCAGATCGATCCTTCCTCATGATATCATTAAAATCCCCGAGATTCATTGCTCGCTTGTCCACATCAAATTTCTTATCTGAAAGGCTTCCTGAAAAGCAGCATAAATAGAGTGAAGAAATCAAGATCATGTCCAAGAGTGACCTGTCTCAGCCACTATTCATCTAAACAATTTTTGTTTTCTGAGGCTAAGACTGGACGTGCTCTCGTTGGTTTAGACTCCTGGTGTTTTGTCCTTGGACACGTGGGTCCTCTTATATAAACAAAACAAAACATGGATCTGTTGTGTCTTGTTTTCCATGGAAGACTGAAAGACAGTCTTAGGGTAACCCAGCAAAAAAAATATGGCTGAGGAAATTCACTGATGTGTTTGATGACATCTTGCTCACAAATTCAGAAGTTCTCAGTGAGAGAAGCTGCCTGCTTTTGTTATTTTCACATCTGCTAGATAAATGCTTGAGACTAATGCACAGGGAATAAAAAGATCAAAGAGGTACAGCTGTCATCTTAAGACTGAGCATGGAAGAGCTGAACAGAAAGGATGGCATGTCCACACCCCGCAGACGCAATTTCCAGGTGCACTGACTGTCCCCGCCCCGCCGCAGCACCGTCATCACCAGGTGCACTGACTGTCCTTACTACCCTGGCATTGCTTTCTTTTCTTAATTTGATTTTGTTTTTAGAGACAATTAGTTTACTTCTTCTGGTGACCAGAAAATTATTTATTTATTTATTTTACTTGAAAGTCAGAGTTAGAGAGAGGGAGGGAGAGAGACCTTCCACCTGCTTGTTTACTCCTGCATCCAGGAGCCAGGAGCCAGGAGCTTCAACCAGGTCTCCCATGTGCATGGCAGGGGCCCTAAGACTTGGGCCATCTTCCACTGCTTTTCCCAGGCCATTAGAAGCTAAATCACAAGTGGAGCAGCCAGGACACGAACTGGCACCCACGTGGGATACCAGTATCACAGGTTAACAGCTTTACTTGCTTATACTGCAACTCTGGCTCCAGTGTGATTCTTTTTATGTTCTTCAGGGTGAGCAACAGTATCACTGAGAAAATCCCAGTCTATGGTTGATACTATCTGCTCCAGTAGCTACGAGAATTTGTCAATGGTAAAACATGCCAGTGTAGACTGCAGCAGCAACTGCCAGGGCCGTAGACAGGTTTAGTCTACCCTGTGAAGTGTTTGTAAAGACACCTGAATTGGTTTCCAGGATCTAAAAATCACTATGTCAATATGCACCCGAATTTCCGGCCTCTCCTGAAACACCGGAAGACGTGGCATAGTCAAGCCTGCCCTCGGGCGCGGCTGACGCGTACAGGCGGCAGGTGCCTCTCCACAGCTGACCAGGGGCCTCTGTGTCCCTCTTTCTTACACCTGGCACACATCACTCACTGACACGCCTCTCTGGCACTTGCAGTCACTTGAGTTTTCAACCCCTAACTCCTTTCTAGCACGGCATCTTAACACGGAGTAAGTGCTCATCTATGGAACTGCACCTATCCCAACTCAAACTGGGCAGGAGATCCAAAAAGGGTATCGCTTAACACCAAGACACTCCCTTCCCATCCGTGGAGGGATACACACCTACAGACAAATCCATTTTGCTGCTTGGATTATCTTCAGTTTGACTCTGAAAAATAAAGTACAGGTGAGAGAGAATTAATGGTGCAGGGGTCTGAGTCGGAGCAGAGGTGGCATCGTTCACACGAGACCGCATCTTAGCACCTTATGAGGGGCACTACACAAGGCCCCCTGAAGTGAACTTCAACCCAAGATGCTGACATTTCTGACTGCTACTGACATATATATCCTTGAAGTTCAATTTTCACGTACAATTTGCCTCACTAAGTCTACAGACAGGGAGGAATAAAATAAACCCATCCTCAAGTTCCAGTAGGTCCAGGATCAAATTCCGTGAATGGCAGCCAAATGATGACAACTTCTTCTCGTGACTTGTCAAGTCATCAAGTCTTGAAATGTGCAGCCAAGTGAAGCCATGTGTCTTTTGGCAACCAGGGACAGGGTGTCCCCACACCGTTCCCCAGAGACATGGAAATCAGCAATTCTATGAGAATTCCCTAGGCAATCAGCTCCAATGCAGTTTTTCTGGTTATTATGCTGCTGTTGTCTATTTAGAATTTATAATATGAAAACGGGCCCAGTAGTTTGGGGTCAAGGAAAACTGCATGAACTTGAAGTGTCCTACTCTTTCTTCCCTGCCCTCCTAAAATGAAAAGAACACTTAGAAGGCCTAACCTTCCACTGAGGCACCGTGCTCTTCAGACTAGCACACAGAACCACCACTGCTTAATTCCAAATAGTAAGAACATGACGCTATCAGCTGTAAATCTGCGACTCTGTACTGGACCATGGCGAGGCCTTGAAACTAGCCCTAGAGCTCAAAGCTGGGTCACATGAAAACACAGCAACACCACGAAACTCACCAGCAATCCCATGTTTGAAAACTGCTTGGCTAGAGGATTCATCCACGAATCACTGTTTCCTCCTTTCAGTGAGCACTACAGAAACAAAATGTGTAACGTCAGAGCAAGTCATTTCTCTCAGCCTACTCACTATGCTACAAAAGTGAACCCTGAAAATGGAGAGCCAAGAGTTCATCTTTCTGAATCTTCACTTCTAACTACCATTGCTTTGATATTTTGTGTTCGCTGAAAGGATTAATAAGCCCAAGTTCTATCTTCGTTTTCACTCTCATTTTACCCAACGCTCTGAACTGGCAGTAACTGGAAAAACACATGGTTGGCTGGGGGTTCTGGCATGCAACCCTTTCACTTTCACTCTGCTCTCCTTGTAACCCGTACTGGTTTCTATCAGGAGAAAAGAGAGTCTGGCGCCAGTGCATACACCTTGGACAAGACCCTGCTGGAGTCCAGTCCTGTGTGTGGAAGCAATGAGGACTGATCCAAGTCGCGTTTATCTGTTTCATGGCACAAAGGATACAGGTCCCCAGTGCAAAGATGCCTAGTGAGAGACATCATCCCACACCTCCTGGGATAAATCAGCTAGAGGTGGGTTTTGTTTGCTAATGGGACAAAGCTGGTTTCTCCCCTGAACAAGGCACCAACCATTGGTTCCGTGAAGGCAGCAGGAGGACCCATGACGGGGACTTCGGTGGGGGTGGGGAATAATGGGATTTGTGCACTTGTACATCCTTCAGGTAAAAATTCTACATACTATATGCTATCAAATTAGTTTTATTATTCTTGAAAGTGATGAGGTATTTAAATGTGACAGGTTTTAAGGTCCAAAAGCCCTCACTGAGAGGGGGTAGAGATGGGGAGTTATTGCTTAACAGGCATAAAGCCACAAGCTTTAGGAAAGATGGAGAGAGCTCTACAGACAGACAGTGGTGATGGCAGCCTGGCAGTGTGAATATACTGCGTGCCACTGACCTAGACACTTGGAAACGGGTATGGTGACCAATTTGATGTTAAGTGTATTTTTAAAAAAAGATTTATTTTTTAATTTATTTGAAAGGCAGAATTACAAAGAGAAACAGATCTTTCATCTGCTGGTTTACTCGCCAAATGGCCGCAACCAGATGAGCAGGCCTGGGCCAGGCCGAAGCCAGGAGCCAGAAGCCTGGAGCCTCTTCTTCCAGGTCTCCCACGTGGGTGCAAGGGCGAAAGGACTTGAATCATCCCCCACTGCTTTGCCAGGCACATTAGCAAGGAGCTGGATTAGAAGTGGAGCAGCCAAGTCTTGAACCGGTGCCACAGGGGATGCCAGCGTCACAGGCAGATGCTTAACTTACATCACAACTCAGCTCCCATTCAGGGCATTTTATCACAACTTTTTTTAAGATCCTTCGTAGGGAAGGTCAGAATGACTGGGCTGGACCTGAAGTACTTAGTTCCCAATTACCTTAATTAGTCAAAGCTTGGGCATCATTTCAGCGGGGTGATTTATTAGTATCCCCCTATTCAGTTAATTTGACAGCTTTCTTAATTTGTAAATAAGCAGAAGAAAGCCAAAAGCAGACCAGATGACTAAGAGTACAAAGAATGCTGAGAACTTTACTGAATAATTCCTCTTGTGACTAGAGAAAGGAAATAAAAGCTGTTCAAAGAGGGAAAACCATAAATGACTTCTGAAATAAAATGTCTCTAAGGGAAACAAACTGTATTCTCATGCTAGAAAATAAAGTTGGGGCATTCAACTAATTTAATACCCTACAGGGCCAAGGGGACGAGGGCGCAATCCCCAGGACCAGAGACCTTTGAAGGCAGCGTCTGGTATTTGAAACACAGGAGGACCACGGCTGTGAAGTGCTGCCCAGCACAGCAGGCTCCCAACCTGAAATTAAGTACATGCATGTCCGCATCTTATTTCTACCATTTTATTTGTGGATTGAAATAAAAGAGAGAGGGCTTCCGCCAAGTCAGTGGTTCTTGTTTTAAAACAACAACAACAACAACAAAAACCACTACTGTTCTAGATTAAAACCAAAGTCCTCATCAAATTATTCAAGTCCAGAGGGAAAGCGATTTGTTATAAAATACGGGAGGTCAAAGTTTAGCTCACAGCCTGCTGCAGGAGGGAGAGAAATTCCCCAGTTGCTGTAGCAGGGCTATGCTCTGGTACTATGCCCTGAAAGTTCCCAGATCAAATAAAATCAAGACGTGCTGACTGTCTCCGGAGAAGCCGTCATTACCTCCCTATGCTTTCTTGTCTACATATTCATGGGGATTTAGTCTAAGGACTTTGTGGCTTCAGGACACCAAAGCATAAAGCTTCTGTAGCCCTGAGAGCTTCCAAGAAATTATCAGAATATGAAAATGAGAAGTAGAAAATACCTCACATCCTAGAAAAATCTCACTGTACGGACAGCTCAACAGTCCTGCAGTGCAAGATTCAAGGTCATGAGAAAGGGAGACGAGAGATATAAGGGAAGCCCTTATTGGCTTGTAAGGAATATTTTCCTCCTTGATGACCTCACTCCTTTTGTTCCTGAGCTGTCACAATTCTGTCTTCCAAGAACGAACGAGCAAGCTAACATCTTCAGAGTGTGCTACCTTCATCTGTTTCTTTCCTCCTTGTCCCCAGCTTGCTGAGTTGTGGGAGGAAGTGCTTCCCTGAGAGCCGGCGGTGTTCCAGACTCCTCCATCCTCCTCCTCTTCCCAGCTGGGATGGCGAGTTCCTGCGACTGGTCCGTCACTCTCCCCCCAGCCATCTTGCATAGATTTGGAATCTGTGAGGGAAGAATGAATCAAATCTGAAGCCGCTACTACACACATATGCACACACACACACACACACACACAATAACCAGAACACTAACTCCCTGCAGATGCAACATGTTCATATCTTTGTAATTTAGTTGCTCTACATGGCAAGGCAACTTCTTATCATTCCTACTCTAGACAGCAGAACACTGAAACCCATGAACCTTTCGTGACACAGGGCAAGACCTCCCGACTCCCAGTTCAATATTTTTCCCCCTGCACCAACTTGACAGGAACTGAAAGACTGGTTATGCCTACAGGAAACCCTCACATCTAAATTGACAGACAGCTTCTCCTCTTATGAGCACGATGCACTGCAGTCCTAGCTCTACTCACCTAAATGTACACTGTGCTCTTTTTTTATTTTTTATATTTATTTATTTATTGACAGGCAGAGTTAGACAGAGAGAAAGGTCTTCCTTTCATTGGTTCATTCCCCAAATGGCTGTTACGGCCGGGTGCTGCGCCGATCCGAAGCCAGGAGCCAGGTGCTTCCTCCTGGTCTCCCATGCGGGTGCAGGACCCAAGCACTTGGGCCATTCTCCACTGCCTTCCCAGGCCACAGCAGGAGAGCTGGACTGGAAGAGGGGCAACCAGGACAGAATCCAGCGCCCCAACCGGGACTAGAACTCGGGGTGCCGGCGCCACAGGCGGAGGATTAGCCTAGTGAGCCGCAGTGCCAGCCCCACTATGCTCTTATACACAATGGTCACTGCAAACAGGAGGTACGATTATAAAAACAAACAGATCTCATTTGGGGTGAGGTAGATAAGAAAAGAACATGAAAAAGGGAAGAACAAAGGAAAGCGTTGACTATCAGAATCACGGTTAAAGAAGAGTAACTCCCAGACACTCATGGAAGGATGAAATGTGCTAGGTAGAAGAGACCCGAGGGAAACGCCACGGAGAAGCAGTGTTCTGAAATGGCAGCAGGAGGAAATGTGGAGAGGAGAGTCGGCAAGCGGAAGAAGCCAGAAATCAGAGAAAAGGCCTCGAATGTCCAAGGAAGCTGGACATCAGTAACCAGTCTATTCTACCTACATCCCCTTCTAAACAAAGATCTTGAATGACCGGATAGAGCCCTCATTTTCCTTCCAAAAATACTGTATGGACTTGCAAGGTATACTTTACAACATTAAAGCTACATAGAATGATGAGGGATTAATGTTCTCTCGCCTACAAGCTGCCCACATCTTTACCAAATGACAGGAACTTTATTGAAGTCATTTGATTTTGACAGCCTCACACGAAGAGTGTAGCGCCAGAGCAGTGGCTCTCTAGGCTATTCCTTGAATGACTGCTTCCATCCCCATGGGCCGGGCCAACGACAGCCATGCAGGCTTCCTCCAAGAATACCTGACCCAGGGACAGTCATCTCTTCTGCTGTGGCACTTCCACCCCAGCATGGCCAGGGAATCTGAAGGCCTCACCTGGGGTCACTGAAGATGGAGGGCAGGGCTGCTATTCTCCCTGCTAGGAGACTGCTTCCTCTTGCAGACAGGATTATAATTATTATAGATTATAAAAACCATTATGTTATAAATCCATATAGTTACATTTTATACTTCAAGTATGATTTACATTATGCAATTCTACACTTTATACCATCCAATGGTTAACCAACAGGAATTAAAAATTCAATATAAATAACAACTGATCCCTTCCTAACATGAAGACATGCAGGTGAACCCATCATTTAGAAGAAGTTGAACCTTTTTTTTTCTTTTAAAAAAAGATTTATTTATCTGATGGGGCCATCACTGTGGCGCAGCAGGTTAAAGCCCCAGCCTGCAGCACCAGCATCCTATATGGGTACCAGTTTGAGTCCTGGCTGCTTCAGTTCCTATCCAGCTCCCTGCTAATGCACCTGGGAATGCAGCAGAGGATGGTCTAAGTCCTTGGGCCCCTGCATCCACATGGGAGACCTGGAAGAAGCTCCTGGCTCCTAGCTCTGGCCTGGCCCAGCCCTAGTTGTTGCGGCCATTTGGGGAGTGAATCAGCGGATATAAGACCTCTCTCTCTCTCTCTCTCTCTCTCTCTCTAAATTAAATAAAATAATTTATTTACTTGAAAGGCAGAGTGAGAGAAAAGGTTGTTTATTGTTGTTTTATTCCTCAAATGCCTAAAAGAGCTAGGGCTGGGCCAAGCTGAAGTCAGGAGCCAGGAACTGCATCCAAGTCTCTTACATGGGTGGCAGAGGCCCACGTACTTCTGCTGCTTTCTCAGAACCATCAGCAGGGAGCTGGATTGGAGGATTTGTAGCTGAGAATTGAACCCCCACTTATATGGAATGCTGGTATCAAAGGTGGTGGCTTAACCTGCTGTGCCACAATGCTGGCCTCATTAATTAACTTTTAAAATTATTTTAAATGCAGAGACACACAGACAGTAATCTTCTATCTGTTGGTTCACTCCTCAAATGCTGGCAACAGCTGGGGCTGGGTTAAGCTGAAGCTGGGTCAATCCAGGTCTCCCACATGGCTGTGTCAGGGACCCAACTAGTTCAGCCATCACCTGCTGCCTTCCACTTTGCAAGTTAGCAGGAAGCTAGACTCTAAGGAGAGGAACCAGGACCCGAATCTAGGCACTCCGATATTGGATGCAGGTGTCCCAAGCAGTGTCTTGACCTCTGGGACAAATTCTTGTCCCTGGAGTTCAATTTTTGACATGTGTTATAGAAAAGAAAAGTGCTGGGGCCGGCGCTGTGGCATAGTGGGTAAAGCTGCTGCCTTTGGTGCCGACATCCCATATGGGCGCTGGTTTGAGTCCCGGCTGCTCCACTTCTGATCCAGCTCTCTGCTATGGCCTGGGAAAGCAGTAGAAGATGGTCCAAGTGCTTGGGCCCCTGCACCCACAAGGGAGACCCAGAAGAATCTCCCGGCTCCTGGCTGTGGATCAGCGCACCTCTGGCCATTGCAGCCAATTGGAGAGTGAACCAGCAGATGGAAGACCTCTCTCTCTCTCTCTGTCTCTACCTCTCTCTGTAACTCTGCCTTTCAAATAAATAAATTGATTTAAAAAAGAAAAGAAAGTGCTAATGTTAAATGACAAGATGAATAACATCAAATTAAGACACTTGCAGGCTACAGAAGGTCACAGATTAACCACTAGCATCAACTGGCTGTCCATACCCTTCCTCTATGTCACACATTAAATTACAGAAGAAAGAACATGCACTTTAATCAGACAATCTTCAAGAGTAGAAGACATTCGCAATCTGGAGGAGAGTGGGGTTTTGTGATGCAAGAGGAGGGATTCTGCGGTTGAGAGAGACAGATAAGAATCCTGAAGGTGGGACCGGTGTTGTAATACAACCGCCGGCTATGCCAGCAACCCATCTGAGCTCTAGTTTGAGTCCTGGCTGCTCTACTTCCAATCCAGTTCCCTGCTAATGGCCTTTCAAATAAATTTATAAAAAGAATGCATTAAATTACTAAATGAAGAGACTATATGGAAATTACACAAAATGTTAATTTTAATCATTACTAGCTTAAACAACACTATATAACTGCTTTTCAAAACCAAAAACCTGTAAACCCAGAAGAGACAAGGAACAGAAAAAGGAACTGTTTAGATAAGTGTTATAAATTCATGATTTTTAAATACAATCCAGTTATACAGGCACAAGTCTGAATTTCTAGAATAAACTATTATAACACTTTCCTTTATGTGGATCTGAAAGAGTCCTAAGGATCATGGGGAAAAAAAAAAAAAAAACTATCCAGGGGCCGCGGTTGTGGCATAGAGAGTAAAGCCACTGCCTGCGACGCCAGCATCCCATCTGAGCTCCAGTTTAGAGTCCTGGCTGCTCCACTTCCAATCCAGCTCCCTGCTAATGTCCTGGGAAAGCAGCAGAGGACGGCCCAAGTGCTTGGGCCCCTGCACCCAGGTAGGAGATCTGATTGAAGCTCCTGGCTCCTGGCTTCTGCCTGGCCCAGACCTGGCTGCTGCAGCCATCTGGGCAGTGAAATGGCAGAAGGAAGGTCACTAACTCTGTCTCTCCCTCGCTGTGTTAACTCGGACTTTCAAAATAAATGAAAGTTTAAAAAAAAAAAGCTCAAACTATCCAAACTTTTTTGATAATTTTTTGAGCACTTCCTTATTTAATCAAAATATAATCACTTACATATGATATATGGTGGAAATGAGATGTTGGGACATTTTAGAGAGTTGAAGGCAAGTGGCAACGTGCACTTGGAATTTTCTTCTTCAATTTAGGGACTCACAATGAGACACCCCCAGCACCAGTCTACAAAGACTTGCAAACAACCATGCAAGGGCAGCTGACATTTTCAATGAATGAATGAGTACAAGGTTCTCCATAAAAAACAAAAACAGAAACTGAAATGAAGAAATCTTTGTGAGGGTCAAGAACCCCGACCAGTTCTTATGTGAGTGGATCTGTGAGAAGGGGCACTAAGGCCCAAGGCAGGCATGGAAGGATGAGGTCCACACGAGGCAGGAAGACAGGGAACTCTTATTGTAAATGACACAGCAAGAGTACAAAGGTAAAATAGATACCAGGCCTAATTTAAAACAAAATCAACACCATTTACTTACGACTTCTAGTTCATTATAAACATTTCAGCATGTGCCAGGCAGCCAAATGAACACCATTTGCTATTAACTCTTTATTTAATGTCCCATAATCTCATTGAATCCACAGCTTCAACACTAACCAGCCCTCACCAAAACATCTTACTCCCAAATTGACAAGGAATCCCTCCAAAGTGGAAATGTGGTGTACTCACTGGGTTTCATGGTATTGGGAGTGTTGGTGGGTGCGTTCCCCCAGCCCGTGGTCGATGCTCCTGTGTCATCCATCTCGCCCCACCCAGGACTGCTCTCGTTCGGCTCACCCCAGGCTGAAGTACCATTATCTGGAGCAGGTGGTGTGCTTTTGCTCCAGACTGTAAGGAAAGGAAATGTGTCTTTAAGGATGAACTGTCACAGGAAACATCATATGATCTCTAAGGGTGATGGCGGCAAAACAAGCAAGCCTGTGTTCCGTCGGCCAAAGTATAAATGCATTCTACCCACAAGGAGGACACTTGCAACATCGCTTTCCAAAAGTCAGATGCACCACAGTTTGATCCAGTAACTGCTGTGGAGAAGTCACCAGGTGCAGACTTTTAAAAATCTATGGAATGACATGTACAGCAGGGTTCACCGTGTCACTGTTAGAAGAAGCTGCGCAGCAACCTAAATATCTATTTAAAAAGCACTGGTCAGACCTACTGTGAGTCACTCATAAAAGAATACTCTAAGAGTATGAAGCAATTAAAAGGCAGAGCTGTAGAAGCAATGTGGAAAACTCACAAGTACAGTGAAAAAGGTGTGGTGAGAGTGGTATAGAAAGTACAATCCCTTCTCTGTAAAATCTTTAAAGGACAGACATATACTTTGCTACAGGCATGAACAAGATTTCTGAGTGCAACATAAACTTCTGAGAGATTATCTATGGGGAGAGACCCTAGGGACTAAGATCCTTTGGTTTGTTATCTTTCCTTTGCTGAATAGTTTGAAGGTTTATACGACATGAATATAACTTTGTTTAAATGTTAGCAGATTTTGTTCTAAATAGGGAGTTAATGAACAATCTTCATTTCCTTCCTCATTCTTTTTAACACTAGAAAAAGAGAACTGTGCACTGTTTAAAAACAATCATTTTCTAAGTGGCCAAAAGCAGATTAATTTAACACCAGGCTTCTTTAAGGAGTAGAAAACTCATCATTAATATTATAAATAATTTTGACTACAAAAAGACTTAAAAGGGGCATCTCCTTAATTTGTTGAGCTTTATAGGGATAATCAAGTCAAGGGCTATTCATGCCAAACTAAGAATGGCTTGACCATTGCCACTTAACTTACCAGATACGATACAGCCTACTCATAGTCTAAACCTGGGCATCACTAAAAGCTGTTCTAGAAACACTTCCTTCCAGTGATGATCGCAAGTCATCTGGAAGGAGACTAAAACCTTCCGCCCAGCCTTGCCACAGCACTGCGATGGCATCTGGAGGACACTGAGGAGCTCCCTGTGCCGGGGGAAGAGGACAGAGGACATGCCCACGGGAGAGCCCAGGCAGACACAGGATAATGGCTGTTACCACTTCAGTGCTTGATTTTTAAAATCCAGAGCCTAGTTCGTTTGGCCAGATGTAAATCTTTTGGATTCTGCAGGCCAACACTATTACAGAAATACAATTTGGCAGATAAACGCAGGATTGCCATCTTTTTCTTTTGCCAGGAAAGGCCGTGAGCGCTTCATAGAGGTTCTGTCGGCGACACTGTAGGGAAGCGTCCCAGAGCAAAGCTATGCAGAGTAACCGCCTTCATAAAGGGCCCTTGGTCTAGGAGTTCTTTCCTTCCTCAAAACCCGCGAGAACAGCCGCTGCTTACCTGACGCTGATTTACCGGTCATCGGGGTGGGCAGGTTTGGTTCTCGAGGTGCAGGGCCCCCCTGGGAATTCTTATCCCACAGATTCACATTCTTGTAGTTGTAACTGTTGGGGTCTCCCCACGCTGACGTGCCATCATCGATGTCCATCTTCCGACTAATTGACTGTGGGGACGGCTCCTCCCAGCCGCTGGGCTCTTCGTCCTTCGGGGTTGTGGGCTGCGGCCCGCTGCTCCAGCTGGAACTGGAAGGCCGGACGCTGCCCGGAGGTGGCGGAGGTGGGCCTCCCCAGGAGCCGGAAGCCTCTGGCTGTGGTGGCGGTGGCTGCTGTGGCTGCTGCTGCTGTTGGTGCTGTTTACTCCAGGAATTGGGCTGCCTGCCAGTCTCATTCCACGCTGGGGACCTTTTGCAATCCTCCCACCCACCTTTGGAAGCGAGGCTTGCATTCCCACCGTTACCCCAAGTTCCGATTTCATTCTGCCCTCCTTCACCCCACCCAGACACAGGCTTACTTGCAGAACTCTCCCAGTTGCTGTTTTTCGCTTGATCCACTTCCTCGCCCCAACCATTCTTTCCCGAGGCCCATCCTTGACTGGGCTGGCGCCCTCCTCCCCACCCCTGATCCTTGCTGGAGCTCTCACTCCAGGAGGAAGGGGTCTTCTCATCTGGTCGGCCTCCTCCCCAGCTGGAAGAGTTGTTGTTCTTGTAGTCACTCCAGCCTCCTGTGTTCTTGGGGTCTTTCCACTCTGTAGAGGCTGAGAGCTCCCCCCACCCAGACTTCATTTGATTGCTTTGGCTGGGTGCATCTCCCCAGCCCCCTGAGTTCTTGGTCTGTGTGGCAGCGCTCTCCCACCCCTCAGTTCCTTTGTCAGATTTCCCCTCGGGCCTTGGCACCTCTTCGATATCCCACACCGTGTCCTGCTTAATTTGAGTTTGGCCCCAGCCAGTGTTTGAGAGCACCCTGGGGTCCAAATCAGTTCGGCTCAAAAGAGTCTGCAAGACAGCCTGACAATCAGGATGTGTGGGCCTGTATGACCGACGGCCAGAATTATGACTGTCACTACTTCCTGCTTTGTGGTTGCTTCCAGTGCTCTGACCCCCAACTTCACTTCCCGTGGAGCTGGAAGATCTTCCCCAACAGGGAGCCTGGGCATTGCCTTGGTTTTCAGGGAGGGGGTGGCCCTTTTGATTGTCCCATGCTCCAGTGCTAGAATTTGGTTGGTTTGGACCACTCCATTCTCCAATTTTCAACTCGTCAGACCCAGTCGGCTGTTTCCATTCTCCCTGAGAGACCCCAGATGTCATTTTGTTCCCTTCACCCCACTTGTTGTCATTAGAGTCCTGAGGGCCAAAGTTCCAGGACCCACCCGTAGACCTGTTACTATTGTCCCAAGAGTCATTTTTTGACCCGGTTGATTTCTGAACAGGAGCTCCTTTCCAGGAGTCCTCTCTATCTTTTCCATTGTTCCCATTGTTTCCAGAATTGCTTTGTCCAGAGACTGTGTCAGTTCCAGAAGGCCCCCTAGCTGCACCCCAAGATCCAACACTCCCAGTCTTTCGCTCTCCAGTGCTTTGTGAAGGGGCATCAGTGCTCCTGGAGGTGTTCCCCAAGCCCGTTCCAAAGGGCATTCCCTTATTCTCCATGGGGTTTGGTGAACTTGAGTTCAAGGAGTTAGTGTTTCCATTTTTTGGTCCATCAGTGTTATGAATTTGAGCCTGTTCTCTGCCAGAGACAACAAAGTTAACACCCGCATTTTCCATCTTTGACTGCTGTTCCCTGGACGCCTGACCTACTGTGCTAACCTGTGCACTAGAATTACTAGTATCCGTCTCCAATGCCCCTTTCCTAGAAGTTCCTTCTTGGACCAGCGCTGGCCAGGCAGATGGGTTGCTATTTGGGTTAAAGTTGCTGAAACCAGAGCCAGGTCCAATTCTATCCTGACCACTTGCATTCCTCCAATTTCCTAGTCCACTGTTGCTCTCCGTGGTAGAGGTGGAAGAGTGAGCAGATTTAGCCTTGGGGTCAGACTTCCAGACCCCAAGGTTACATTCGTTCCCAGAAGTTGCAGGCTGGCACTGGCTCCCTTTGCCTTTGTTACTAGTGGTGCTTCCTGGCAGAGCGCTCTTCTCAGAGCCAGGGTTCGAGGCACTGTTGTTATCGGTGGTGTTTTCGGAAGAAGATTCAGTGTCTTTGCTGGCAATGCAAGGCCACTCTTCCATGTCAGACCCGTCTACAATCACCTTGTCCCAGACGTGAATTGGGTTGGGGGAGGCGCCGTTGTTGGAGGCCCCCGGGCCCCAAGTGGGATTTGCATAATTTGAAGCAGCAGCACCTCCAAGGGTTGACTCTGGGAGAGAGAGCATCTCATCAGTCACTGCCTCCCGTGCCCTTCCCAGCAACACCCGGGGCCCACTGCCTCCCGTGCCCTTCCCAGCAACACCCGGGGCCCACTGCCTCCCGTGCCCTTCCCAGCAACACCCGGGGCCCACTGTCTCCCGTGCCCTTCCCAGCAACACCCGGGGCCCACTGCCTCCCGTGCGCTTCCCAGCAACACCCAGGGCCCACTGCCTCCTGTGCTTCCCAGCAACACCCGGGGCCCACTGCCTCCCGTGCGCTTCCCAGCAACACCCGGGGCCCACTGCCTCCTGTGTGCTTCCCAGTTAACACCCGGGGCCCACTGCCTCCTGTGTTTCTCAGTAACACGCGGGACCCACTGCCTCCCGTGCCCTTCCCAGCAACACCCGGGGCCCACTGCCTCCCGTGCCCTACCCAGCAACACCCGGGGCCCACTGCCTCCAGTGTGCTTCCCAGTAACACCCGGGGCCCACTGCTTCCCGTGCGCTTCCCAGCAACACCCGGGGCTCACTGCCTCCCGTGTGCTTCCCAGTAACACCCGGGGCCCATTGCCTCCTGTGCACTTCCCAGTAACACCCGGGGCCCACTGCCTCCCATGCCCTTCCCACTAACACCCGGGGCCCACTGCCTCCTGTGCGCTTCCCAGTAACACCTGGGGGGCCCACTGCTTCCCACTAACACCCGGGGCCCACTGCCTCCCATGCCCTTCCCAGTAACACCTGGTGCCCACTGCCTCCCGTGCGCTTCCCAGTAACACCTGGGGCCCACTGCCTCCCGTGTGCTTCCCAGTAACACCCAGAGCTCACACCGTGCCAGGGGGAGCTCATTCCCTTTCCCCACAGGTGGGCTCCTCCACTCGGCTGCTCATCTTGTTTGACCGAGTCAGTATCACCACTGTCTCAGTCACCTCTTCTCTTGTATCTGCCCAGTGCCCTAGCCGCTAAGGTGACTCTGCGACATTTCTTCAGGCTGTCTCCTTGCCATCACTCAGGGCAGAGAGGGCCTTCTTGTATCTCAAGACAATGCAGTAGCAACCTATACTTGCTCCTTATCTACAACCTACTCTGAAAAGTTATGGCTGGAATAATGTTCTATAGCACACCTTTGATTTTATCACTGCTACAGTCTTTAAACAGTTGCTTAGTGTGGAAGAATTAACACCTTGGCCTAGAGTTTAATCGAGATGCTCTGGGGCCGGTACTGTGGCATATAGGGGTGCCATTTCAAGTCCCAGCTGCTCCACTTCCGATCCAGCTCCCTGCTAATGCGTCTGGGAAAGCAGCAGAAGATGGCCCAAGTGCTTGGGCCCCTGTGCCCATGTGGGAGACCTGGAAGAAGCTCCTGCCTCCTGGCTTTGGATCTGCCCAGTTCAGGCCATTGCAGCCATCTGAGGAGTGAACGAGCAGATGGAAGCTCTCTGTCTTTCCATCTCTAACTCTGACTTTCAAATAAACAAATAAATCAAGATGCTCTGTGATGTGGGACCTTTCTAGTTTTGCTGTGTGTGACTTTTACGTAGATGTTCACGGTCCGTATTAACTGACATTCCACGATTTTGGCCCGCTCACTCTGACATCATTCCATGTTGCATCTACTTTTTCCTCCTGAATCCATAGTGACATTTACTCATTGCTTCTAAGAAGCTGTTTTTAAGCTCATCCCCTGAAAATAACCTTTCCCTGTCTACAGCCCCTGCGCTCAGTGCCACAGCTGTATCCACATCTTTCCTCCCCTGTGTCATTTGCCTTCCCGGCAGAGACCCTGTCTTGCTAATGTTTGAATTCCACATGGTGGTCAGTACAACGTGGCCCAGGAAACACCTGCTGAGTGCTCACTGAGAGGGATGCAGGGGGACACACGGGCAAGAACCAGACAGGTTCCTAACCCCAAGGAACTTAATCTGATAAGTTAATCTAATTCAGCACCTTGGTGGAGTTTACCATAAATGGAGGGAAGAAATAACATGTTTTTAAGGAGATAATTTCTTTTAAACATATTGTAGCTTCTTAGCCAAGCAGCTTTAAATCAGTATGAAGTTGAAAAAGCATTATGTGGAGCATCATGAAGACGAGAGGAAGCTCAGAATTCCCAACTCTCAAGATGCACAGGTCTCCTCTGGTGTTAGCAGGATCTATAAGGGACTCGGAGTGGCTCCAGACCCACGTCTGCTTCCGGGCCTGGCTACAGTAAGCTGTGGAAGTGCCCACCAGGACTGTCCCTCACATGAGGGGCCAGGAAAGAAAGGCTACTTTGCTCTACCTGCTCTGGGCCTAGCCTGATGGCTACTGCAGGGCAGCCTCAGAGGCAGGGTTTACCTCTGCAGGATACCTGTGTCGTCCCAAGGCTTCCCTCCATCCTCACTCTGCACACAACCAGATGGTGACATAATTTTCTAGGCAATTCTTTGTTCAAACTCTAGTGTTATCGGTGACAACCATTAATTAATTGTCCTTGCCAATGCTTGATGGTGTTCAAGCTCTGAATTTTAATATAGCCTCAAAAGACATTTTAAGCGATAAGCTGGGGGGCCGGTACTGCGGCTCAGCAGGTTAACACTCTGGCCTGAAGTGCCAGCATCCCACATGGGCGCCGGTTCTAGTCCCAGCTGCTCCTCTTCCGATCCAGCTCTCTGCCATGGCCTAGGAAAGCAGTAGAAGATGGCCCAAGTCCTTGGGCTCCTGCACCCACATGGGAGACCCGGAAAAAACTCCTGGCTCTGGATCAGGGCAGCTCCAACCGTTGCAGCCATCTGGGGAATGAACCAGCAGATGGAAGACCTCTCTCTCTCTCTCTCTCTGCCTCTCCTCTCTGTGTAACTCTGACTTTCAAAGAAATAAAATAAAATAAAATAAAAAAAAAAAAAGAGAGAGAGAGAGATAAGCTGGAATCTATTAATAAGCTTAAAAAGGGAAAAGAGACTTGGAAGTTCTTATCTGTGAGCTGACTAAATATTCACTGATTCTAACTCTCAAAACTCCTAACACCACCCTTTGGCTAAAACATATCTTAGAGCTATGCAATAGCTCTTAACAGAGCTCAAAATTCAGGCCCCTCAAAAGAAAAACTGATTTTACAAACGCAATGAACACTGCAGAAAGGACTACGTGGTATGCTCCCTCGGCCTGCACTGTAACCCAGAGGCCGTCCTCTCTACACCCCTGCTGTTCTCAAATATGCGTGTTCTCGGCTGGAATTTATTCCACACAAGTCCCCTCTCGGTCACACCTGAACATGGGCTGTGTTGGCAGTGGAACGCCGGGTGCTTGGACTGTGCCCTGGGGTGATGGCCAGCGGTGGCTAAGCCAGACTCCATGTCAGGAGCACACAGTCAGTTTCTGGGACCTGCCCCTACGCACTTTATGCAGAGATCCTACCTCCACCTTATGTCTGGGGCAGCTTTCTCCCTTTAAAGGCCCGGGGCTCAGGCCCACCACCACCGCCTCACCTGGTGCAGTCCCACTCTCACTCTGCAGCAGCGTCCCTGTCACTTGTGCGTTGTTTGGGTTTGCTCCAGGTGCTGTGCAGGGAGGAGGCCCTGCCCCGCCCCCGAGGAGCATGCAGGACGGCGGAGGGGGCTGTCCACGTTTTAGTAACACTTTGTGGTCCTGCTGGCAACGGAATCGCGGCGGCACCTCCCGAGGCATGTAGCGGGCGGCGCTTGGCGGTTGTCCGTTCGGCACTGCCACCCTTTTGGCATTGTTGCCACCATTGACTGGTGGCGATGGGGAGCTGCCAATTGGGCTGGCGGCCGCTGGTTGGCTTAGACTTGGTTTCGTCACTTCGGGCACTGAAAGAAAGAGATTGGGAAATCAAGATACATTTTTCTAAAGATTATCTCTAAGAAAGGTTACGTGAGACCCATTCTAACAAGACAACTGTTCTCTCTCCACACTCAAGAGATAGTTTGCCCAACTCTTCTGGCACCTACAGCTGCCTGAAGATGGGTGGAGGAGGTGGGTGATGGTGATGCAGGCTCACAGCCAGCAAGTCGGTGGACTGCATCCCATTCACTAGGGAAGGGAAGCAGCTCCAACCACTCCCATCAGCCAGTGGCAGGGTCAGATTCTAGAGGGCTGCCTGGTGGGTAAGAACGTCGGCAACGAGCCCTTGCTGAAGGGGTTAGGCCTCTCAGCCCACAGTCCCTTCCCTTCACCACATCCTTAGAAGAGTTAACTCAGAGAACCCCCTCCTGAACTCCCAGAACATGCCACGCATCAACCCTACCACGGAACTGTTTCATCCTGACCTTCTCTACCGACAGCCCCTCCCTGTCTCTGCCCTATGCCTGTCCAGGGCAGGAATCTCATCTCGGGAAGCACAGACCAGGAGAATCACAAAACTCCACCTGGTTTTGGTTTCTAAAGCTGCCTAAACTCAAAGACTCGCCCGGTCCACTGTCTACATATTAGAAACATTTATAAATCTTTTTGCTTTTATTGTTAAAAAAGGTTTTTTGTCAGTTCTTTATTTAAAAATTTTAAATTGGAGGCACCTTTACTATTTACTTTAGAAAATCTGCCAGGCAAACGGGCCTTGCAGAAATAACCTCCAAGCCGGTGATTCACACGCCCCTGAAGCCCACTCCTGCCACCCAGGGCAGTCAGGGCCGGGCTGCTTAGGTGCTCAAGTGGGGCTGAGTCTGCACGTCGCCCGTCTCACTGAGGGACGTGGCATGAAGAATCACCACTGGAGGGCAAGGGCAAGCGCTGTGAGAATGACAGCAGGAAGGGGCAGGTGCCTCCACTGACGCCCAGGCAAGCCCTGTGTCCATCCGTGCAGGAGGTGCTGGCCTCCAAGTAGGGAAGCAGGTCACAGCGCCCATGATCTGATGAGCAGAGCAAACATCACTGGTCATTCACGTTGGTCATGGATGGATATCCATGTAGTGACCTCTGAATGACTTGCAACACCAATAAATGAATGAATGAAGATCATCTAATGGTTAGCTTTCCATCTGTTTCTGGAGGAGTCCATAGCATACAGCCTTTCCAATCCCCCTTTTTTCACATTATGAGAAAAAAAAACAGAATCTGGCAAAGGCTGGGGAAGAGGGTCCCTCTCCATGGGTATTTAGGACAGAAGAGCGAGGCACTGGTGATCGGCCCTCCCATTACTGGGGTTGGATCTTTATGCAGAGCAGGCCAGCACAGGTCTCTCCTCATCTTTCTGAAGGAGAATCAAACAAGCCAGCACAGCCTTCAAGACGAGGGTGACTCCACAGCATTCACAGCACTGCTGGCCACCATATACTGTGCCGGTTCCTTGCCAAAGCTCTTCAGGGGGCCGGCGTTGTGGCACAGAAGGTTAAGCCTCCACCTGTAGTGTTGGCATCCCATATGGGCACTAGTTCAAGTCTTAGCTGCTCCACTTCTAATTCAGTTCCCTGCTAATGTGTCTGGGAAAGCAATGGAAGATGGCCCAAGTACTTGGGCCCCTGCACCCATGTGGGAGACCCAGAAGCAGCTCCTAGTTCCTGGCTTCAACCTGGCCCAGCCCTAGCTGTTGCGGCCATTTGGAGAGCGAACCAGCAGATAGATCCCTCACTATCTCTGCCTTTCAAATAAAAAAATAAATCTTAGGAAAAACAAAACAAAATGCACAAAACTCCTCAGGGCATTCTCCCACCATCCCAACAGGGTTATGAATGATAAAGTCATGAAAGGATAGGGACATGCCTCAACTACTTCCTTCTAATATTGCACTCGGTCTAGAGACAAGTCATTCAGGACTCCTGGACACAGTCAGAAGAGGTCTGAGACCCTGTCAGTCACAGGTGAAAGCTGCCTCAGGACCCGAATGAATCCTTATTCTACTTCTTTACAACATCTTTCTGTGAAGTAGAGAACTGTAAGCATTTAAAAGGAGAATCAGAATCCTAGACACTAACTGGAGAGCCATGCAGCTGTTGGGCAGGAGGCCTGACCCAGCCTGATTCCCAAGGCCAAACATAAGACATCAGAATCAGAGTGAGCCTCTTCAAGCCCCAGAATGGGAGACCATAACAGGAGAAAGAGAGAGAGAGGGTGAGAGGGAGAGGGGAGGGAGAGGGGGAGAGAGAGAGGGAGAGGGGAGGGAGAGGGGGAGAGAGAGAGAGGGAGAGGGGAGGGAGAGGGGGAGAGAGAGAGGGAGAGGGGAGGGAGAGGGGGAGAGAGAGAGGGAGGGGAAGGGAGAGGGGGGAGGGAGAGAGAGGGAGGGGAGGGAAAGGGAGGCAGAGGGGGAGGAGAGGAGGGAGGGGAAGGGAGAGGGAGAGGGGGAAGAGGAGGGAGGGAGGGAGGGGACTGCTGAATCTGAACTTGTTACTTCTCAGCCTTTCTCTTTCCTGAATGTTAATTCTGGAGGTCCTGGGGCAAGCATTTCTAAAGACAAGCTGCTCAAAATAAGGTCACAGTTTCTTGTTTTCCAGAATAAAAGTCTGTGGCTTGGAGTTGGCACTGTGGTGTAGGGGGTAAAGTCACCGCCTCAACACTGGCATCCCATATAGGCGCTGGTTCAAGTCCCAGCTGCTCTACTACTACTACTTCCTCTTTTTTTTTTTTTTTTTTAAAGATTTATTTATTTTATTTTAAAGGTAGAGTTACAGGGAGAGAGAGAGAGGAAAGGTCTTCCATTCACTGGTTCACTCCCCAGAGGGCTGCAACAGCCAGAGCTGTGCTGATCCAGGAGCCAAGAGCTTCTTCCGGGTCTCCCATGTGGGTGCAGGGGCCCAAGGACTTGGGCCATCTTCTACTGCTTTCCCAGGCCATAGCAGAGAGCTGGATTGAAAGTAGACCAGCTGGGACTTGAACTGGTGCCCAAATGGGATGCTGACATTGCAGGCAGTGGCTTTACCTGCTACACCACAGCAGTGGCCCCTGCTCCACTTCTGATCTAGCTCCCTGCTGATGTGCCTGGGAAAAGCAGCAAAGGAGTCCCTGCAACTCACGTGGGAGAGCTGGAAGAAGCTCCTACCTCTGGCTTTGGCCTGGCCCAGCCCTGGCCATTCATCTAGGAAGGAAGCAGCAAATGGAAGCTCTTTCTCTCTCCTTCCTGGTCATTGCAGCCATCTGGGGAGTGAACCAGCAGATGGAAGATCTCTTTTTCTGTCATTCCCTGTCTCTCTTTAACTTTTTCAAATAATAATCTTAAAAAAAAAAAAAAAGTCTGTGGCTTAACCATGATCTCAGTATCAAAGGGAAATAAAAACAATGAAAAATGCTGAGTATACTATTTCCAATTTCCATTCACTCACTTCTAAAATGAATTATGTACTCCATAAAGTCCCCTGATGATTGAAGTGCTTCTCCTTCCCTGTTTCCTTTACATTACACCATTTCTGAAAAACTTCAATTAGATGCTACGTTTTCAGATAAAAATATTTCTGAAGTAACTTCTCAAACAGGTAGGCTTCTGAATTTTTTGTGTGCACGCACAGCAAACCCAACAACTGCATAGCCTGGACTACCACGAACTATTTCTTTTGACTATCTCAATGGTGCCAAACATCAAAGAGATGGAACACGGGCATCCTAGCCAGCATCTTAGCCGCCCTTGGAAGTGTTTTTAAAGCAGCAGTAAAAATGCAAACAAGGCCTGGCAAAGATTATTTCTCAGACGGATGACACACACCAGCTGATGTGTAGCCAACAGCTTTCAGTAACCTGTAAGCACGACCTCCAGTTCTTGACCTCTCACGCACTCCTTATACAGCACACGCTGGCTTTTGCCCCGAACATTTTCCTGCAAGCTTCTCTCCCCATCAAGCTGCTGGTGGTCATTGCTGCCAGTCTAAAAAGCACTTGCTGACTTTTCCCCTTGGACTTCCTGTGGCTCTAACACTGCTAGCTATCCCTTTCTGTCTTTGTGAGACCAGCTCCCACTAGCTCTTCAGCTCTTCCTTCCTCACTTTTCTTAAAGGCACAAGACAAAGAAAGAACATAGAATGAGTCTACTTTCGGGGCTGGCACTGTGGCACAGCAGGTTAAGGCCTTGGTCTATAACGCCGGCATCCCATACGAGTGCTTGTTTGAGTCCTGGCTGCTCCACTTCCGATCCAGCTCTCTGCTATGGCCTGGGAAAGCACTAAAAGATGGCCCAAGTCCTTGGGCCCCTGCACCCACATGGGAGACCCAGAGAAGCTCCTGCTCCTGGCTTTGGATCAGCGCAGCTCTGGCTGTTGTGGCCAATTGGGGAGTGAACTAGTGGATGGAAGACCTCTCTCTCTCTCTCTCAGCCCCTCCTTCTCTCTAACTCTTTCAAATAAATAAATAAATCTTTTAAAAAAATCGATCTACTTTTTCTCTGAAATACAGAAAAATCTTACTTCAGTCCTTTGTACAATCAAAGATTTGACACCAAGTCTGTTCTGACAGAGTTTGTGGGGAAAACAGGTGCAGAGTCAAAGCTGAGGAAGACAGCATCCTGGGGAGGGGACAGGACCCAGAAAGGCAGCCGAGGGAGGAAAGAACAAAGAGCAGAGCACCAGGTGGGCTCTCGGGAGCAGATGAAGATGTGGCTATAAAAGGCCTGGGCTTCCCTCTGCTTACAGTCTAACGTGTGGCAGGGCAACTTTTATTTTTACTTCCTGCCTACCCTCTGGTTCTAACAAGTAAATCCCCTGGAGACTCAAAAGTGACTCTGCTCACTGGAGGATTCTCTGGTTGGGGCTGGGCACAGGGACTGTGAAGTTGCACCCCATGCTATGGGGTGGGAACATGGGGTGGGAACAAGAAAGACCGTGGCAAGAAGGAAAATTTGGTAATGAGTAGAAAGGACAATTTTACTTTTAAGACTTTGGCAGAGGAAGAGGAACATGGTTAGGAACACGAGAGACAGAGAATGTCTAATAGGTTTTTAGTTTCCCAACAGAGACACCACGTCTCAGACAGCATGACCTGACTCTGCAGCGTGCCAGGATTTAGCTTTGGCAGCATTAGACTTGAGGCAGGGCCTAGGAGCCCACCCACCAGGCTACAGCAGCCTAGAGCCTGAGATGCCCAGGAAAATGCCAGCTTCCTCATCTTCTGTCCCAAAAGCCATCAAAGTCCTAGCAATATTAATTCTCACGTGTTTCAATCCTTTCCTAGATGGTTGGTTTAGAAAACATGGCCACTACACCACTCTGGGTAACACTACTGCTATAGCAAATTATAATCTGTATTTCAGATAAGTAATTTACAAACATGTTTCCAAAATAAAGGCCACTTCTTGGCTGAGAACTGGCTGAATGGCACAGGGGATAACACTCTTTTCCCTAACCAACGAAGATACTGGTAACTAACAATGGTTTCTCTCAGTTTATTCTGTAGGTCATTATAGTCACAAAGTCCGGGCATTTTCCTTTGAAATGTGTCTTGATCAGAAACATATCACCATAACGCTTCGTGATCTGAGAATCTGTTTTTCATAACCAAGTCTCCTAAGAAATCTGCACCATCGTGAGGAGTCTTGCGTGACAAGTGGCATGCTTTGGCCTGGCAGTCCAACATACGACGGAGACACTCATCACGAAGAGCCTCCCACCCAGCCCGGACCTCCTCTCCAGGTCAGCACAGCCGCATACAAAGCCCTGGTCTGCAGTGGTGTTGCTCCTTACCAGGATCACCCGCAGAGGTTTTCACTGGCAAGGGCTGTGGCCTTCCACATTCTGACGCCTCCATTTAAATCACTCCAATGCATACCTGACTAAGAATCACCTATTTTGCTGGGCAAGCATAGCAGCATCTCAAAGAATTAAGTTTCTTATTCTTAAGCCAAACTGACCAAAAGACTACCACCATACAAAACCCTATCACCAAAATGTATAAGGAGACAAAGAAGCAGAAAACAGAGACTGCCATGTTGAAAGTGACTTAAGGGACACCCACTTTTGTTTACAACAGTATTCCTATCTTGTAACAAAGTTATCTGGTCCAAAATGCAGAATCTTAAAAATAACAAAAAACAAAACCACCAGCCTATTCCAGGCCCCTGCCCAGAACACAACACAAATAAACACGCTCCGCTTTCACACTCTAAGACACATGGGCACCCAGGTGGCTGACAGTCCTCTGCAGGTTCCATCCGTGACACAGAAGCTGGCGTCCGGATTCTGTTACTGGTTCTGAGTTCTAAGCTGAGGGTTGAAAGGCTCAATTCAAAGTCATGATCCCTATACTTTAAAAATATTATTTTGGGGGCTGGTGCCATGGCGTAGGGGGTAAAGCCACCACCTGCAGTGCGCTGGTTTGAGTCCCAGCTGCTCCACTTTCGATTCAGCTCTCTGCTATCTCCTAGGAAAGCCAAGAGGATGGCCCAAATCCTTGGGCCTCTGCACCCAGATGGGAGACCTGGAAGAAGCTCCAAGCTCCTGGCTCCTGGCTTTGGATAGGCCCAGCTCCGGCTGTTGTGGCCATCTAGAGAGTGAATTAACGGATGGAAGATGCCTCTCTCTCTCTCTGCCTCTGCAACTCTGTCTTTTAAAAAAATAAATAAATATTTAAAATATATATATATTCTTTTGCCTCCTAAAAAAATTAGGGCAACTAGAAACACTAATACAAGTACTTTAAATCTTTCAATACTGCTCTCTGGTGACTGCAAACAGCCCACCTTAATACTCCACGCCCACCCTCTATTCCAGTGGGTTGAAGGCTGAGTCAGCAGCAGTATACAACTTAAACAACAGAGCTTCTGGGGATGGGGATAGGGGTGAATCTTACCTTTGGTTTTTTGTTCCGTGACCTACAAAATAAACAGACATAAGTAAATAAGATTTGCTTTGCATTCAGTGCCTGCATTATAAGACTACTTTCATTCTGAAAAGTCATGTAATTCAAGCCGTCAGATACACAGGCATAGTGAAAATCCAGAAAAAAGCAGCTAGGAGTCAGCTGAGACATCCTTGTCAAGAGTATGGCCGTGTGTCCAGCTACAACTTACATGACCACCACTGGGAAGCATTCTAAAAATAATTTTTAAAGGTTTTAAAGCATTCAATACTCATTCAATGATGAAATCCTATACTGGGAATGGTGTTTGCCATTTTGATTACTGCGAGTAGAAAAAAATCAAATGGATATGGTCCAGAAACTAAATTAGCCACTGAAATAAACAGACCAAAAAATCCCTTGTAAGTATAGACTCAAACCCACAGTCTCAAATATGAAAACCAAAACCTCGGGGCCCATCCTGACAGGCAAGACAGGCTGTGCGGTAGGGAAGGCAGGGCTCGGAACCGAGTCTTGCCACCTCCCGACAGCAAGGGCTCGGTTTTCTGTTCTCTGCTGAATGGCAAAAGTAACATCATCTCCCTGCAAGGCAGTGTAAGGACTGCACCACACAGCGCTTGCCAATGCTCAATACATCACTGTTATCATCAAAGTTTATGCAAAGTAGACAAAGTACAGCAGTAACATGGAAACAGGCAAATCTCAAGCAAAGAATGGTTTGTTAAGAGTTCTTTCTACAGATACTAAACATCTATGGAAGCGATCAACCTGACAGGTTGTCGGGCTGAATACAACAATGGGTTTTTAGTTTGGAAACAGCAATTAGGAGCCACCTGCAGGAGGGGAAAACATGCCCCGTAACTTAAGCACAGCACAAACTTCACAGGCCATGCGAGGCGAGCAGGCCAGAATCCATTTCATTACTGAGATCAGGGGTGACTCTGGCTCCCTCTTCCCAGCTGCCAGTCTTCTGAAGCATTTTTTATACTGGTAATCCGACTTCTACAGTGTACAACTGTTCTAATTTTAAAGATGAACAGTACAAGCCTCTTCAGAAGCAGTGATCTGGCTGTCTGTGGCTGGAAGCTATGCTAGGTGGTGCAGGGTCACGTGGGAGGCTGTTTCTGTAGCCCACCAGCCTGCCTTGAAGAGGACCCCAGCACAGCACAGACCCGCTCCGAGCCTGACTCCAACGATCCGCCTGTGTGACTTCCTAGGGTGCCCCTCACATTCCCGCACTGCAGGACGAGCAAACAGTGCAGCCTGAATCTGTGGAATTCATTGTCTTAAAATGAACATGTTTCCTGGTCCTGGCTGCTATACGTTGCAATCCTACCAAAAATGCTGTGAGACGAGCGTAATTCTTCCACTGCCCCATTTACCGAAGGATGACACCAGTTCCTTGCGGTAACTGAGGCTTTATACCGTTGCTAACGTTTCTTAGAATGCCGTTTTGAAGAGCGGTTAAATGGAAGTTATTGCCTTCCCCAGCTGTAAGCAATGATCCCAAATGATGTCCAATATGTCCCACAATGTGGCTCTGTCAACAAAGAGCCGGGCCCTAGATGGGGGGAGACTGAATTATCAGGGCGCGGGCTCTGCTGACGCCAAACAACGCTCCTCCTCCTCCGGCAGCTCCAGCCTCCCGGAGGTGAATGCAGTCTTTCTTTGACACCTCTTCTCATGAAGGAAATCTGACAGTTGACTCAGGATGGCTCTGGAAAGAGCAAACCACCATCACCACTGAACACAGCAGGGCAAGTTCGTGGTTAATGTCTGTGTGGAAGTAATTCAATTTTAGCTTTAAGTAACAGTTTTTCCAGAAAATTACATCACTGTCTTTTGTTCTTTATTCTTCATCATTCATTTATTAAACAAATGTTTTTTGAATGACTGCTCAGCACCAGGCGCTTCCCAAGTTGCTGGCAATACAAACACAAAACCTGGAGAAACCCGAAGTCAGGGGAGGAAACAGGCACAGAGAGACGGCTGTGAAGCGACGGAGTCAGCAGCGTGGAAGGTGCGGCAGCTCTCCAAAGGGGCCCCACAGACGCTTGCTGACTGACTGAACGACCACACAATAGAACCTCTGGCACATTCCCTGCATTTCTTTGCATCGCAGCACATTTTGTGCCTCCCAGTCGAGGCACTGTCTTGACAATAAGGCTGGAAACCACTGAGATAATCGCATGGCGAGCTTTGTGCTCGCTCCTTAAACCTGCCAAATAGGAATTCAATTCTGAAATCAGGCAATGACTCAGTGTAATAAAATGATATCAAAGGCCATGCCTCAGTCGTGTCAGCCTAGACTGCAGCTGACATAGAACACCTCTGAGCAGAAATGGCTGAATCTGTGTTACTTGTGGTAACTTTCCTCTTTGCCATCACTTCTTGATCAGTCCTTCATGCAGATGCGAACACAATGGGGACTGTCCAGCTGCATCAACTGTTCTCTCCACATGAATAATCCTATTCACTCCTGAACATACACACACCCACATACACCCCACCCCCCCACACCCCTCACACACACACACCCCCCAACCCCCCCCCACACCCCACACACACACCATCCTTCATTGTTTTTCAGAGATTTATTTGAAACACAAAGTTAGAGAGAGAGGGAGAGAGGAGAGAGAGAGAGAAAGAAAGAGATGGAGAGAGAGAGAGAGAGATCTTTCATCTGCTGGTTCACTCCCCAAATGGCCGTAATAGCCAAAGCTGGATCAGACCGAAGCCAGGAGCCACATCAAAGTCTTCCACATGGCTAAAGGGGACCAAGCCCTTGGGTCATCCTCTGCTGCTTTCCCAAGCACATTAGCAGGGAGCTGTTTTGGAAGTAGAGCAGCCAGGACTCAAACAGGTACCCATATGGGATGCCAGCCTCATAGGCTGAGGTTTGATCTACTACCCCAAAACGCCAACCCAACTGTGCTTCATTTTAAATCACTTTTCTGTCAGAATAATCTAGTGAGTTTGAGATGTGTGTGTGTGTTTCTCTATGTGTATGTGTATCACACACACACACACACAATATTTACCTATTTGAAAGAGAGAGAAGGAGAAGCAGAAAGAGAAAGATCTTCCATCCACTGGCTCACTCCCAAAATGACTGCAATGGTTGGGGCCAGGCCAAGCCAAAGACAGGAGCCAGGAACTCCATCCAAGTCTACCAATGCATGGCAAGGACCCAAGGACTTGGGCCATCTTCTCCTGCCTTCCAGGAACATTAGCAGGGAGCTGGATCATAAGTGGAGCAGCCAGGACTTGAAACAGCTCTCCAAATGGGATGCCAGCACTGCAAATAACGTCCTAACCTGCTGCACCACAATGCCAGTCCCTATAGATACATATTTCACTATTTTAGATATTGATGTTTTTAGTTCAACAGAAAGCAGTTGGGGCAGGAGTTTGACACAGTGATGAGCATCGGAGTCTGAGTGCTGGCTCCATCCTCCATTCCAGCTTCCCACTAATGCATCCTGGGAGGCAGCAGATCATGGCTCAAGTACTTGCTTTCCTCCCACCCACACGGCAGACCTGGACTGAGTGCAGGGCTCCTGGCTGCAGCCTGGTCCAGCTGTGGCTGCTGTGGGCATCTCGGGGGTGAACCAGGGGATGGAGATTTCTCTGCTTCTCTGCCTTTCAAATAAATGTTTTGTTTTTTTTTTTTTTTAAATTAAGTTTAAAAAAAAAGAACACACAAAACAGTGTTATCTGTGTTGAGTGCAGGTGGAATGTATACTGTCTGACACAATCACTCTATTTGTTATTCTCTTGTTAGCAGTCTTTGCTCAGGGTTCCTGGTGTGTGGCCTAGTAACCATCCACTCCACAGACTGCAAAATTCAGTGTTTGTGCTACCACAGTAGACGAAACGTCTGAGCGCCCTGAAGGAAAGAAACCGTTCACTGAGGTTCAGTGTCACATGACTCCACTTGGGGGATTCCAAGAGTCCAGAGGTCACAGGGTCGAGGCCACCAATGCCCCATGGCTACTGAACCTGCATACTGCAGCCTCAGTGACAGCAGACGTGGCTGTGACGCCTGGAGACGTTAAAAAAAAAAAAAAAAAAACCCTCTGGGTTTTTATCTGGCTTCTTAATTCAGAGTCTTTATGACTCCAGAATTTTAGACAATTCAAGTTAGGATGAAAAGCTGCACGTGAGAAGCAGGTACAGCCGAGATGTGATGAGGAACAAACCACTATTAATAGAAACAGAACCATGACTGGAAGCAGACAGAATCTTAAAGAGTACTATGGTCTATTACAGCACCAAATAATAATGAATGTGCCTTTTAATTAAGTCACAAAGAAAAGATAAAATTCTGTTCCTATGTTTAAGATGGCACGGTTTTAAGTAATCCAATTCAGAAAATACCCTAGGATTTTCTTTGTGCTGGTACTCAGATATGATCTATTTCAGTATGAGAAACGCTGCATCGGAAATGCTTCCAGAGCCTCTGCCCCTTACCTGGCTCGCATTCAACTGCACTGACTCTCAGTCTACACTTCCTGCTGAGCTCCTGGCACCACAGCAGGAGGCGCTGCTTCCCAGGTGCTGCAGGTAGTGGGAAGAACCATTAGCCAAGGCTCAAAGCAATCTCCTTGCCTCCAAAAAAGGTTCACAGGTAGCCCTGCTGAGCCAGGCCACATCAAAGGAAAGGTGAGGTGCAGGAAAGAGGCCAGAGCAAAGCAGGGCCAGGGCAGAGGGCACGCTGAAGCGAGGGGCGGGGCCTCTCACCACTGACAAACAGCTCAGCTGAGACCTGACTGCCAACAGCTGTCAACCCTGTCACTTTTCCTTTTAGCATTTCTCCTTTTTCTCTAAGCAAATCCCTCAAAGCTGTGCAATGACATAACCCTGAGAGCACTCGCAGACCCTCTAGATCCTTCCTGAGGGGCTTCCACACGCAATCATTAAAACGTACGCGCACCTAACCAACAATGGGCAGGCCAAAAAGGACACCAGGATAGCAAGTGTTGTAAAGTTATTCTATAAACTTGCTTAAGAAAATGGAGATTCAGAGGTGGGTGTTTGGCATAGTAGTTAAGATGCCACTTGGGAAGCCGGCAACCCATATGGAAGTCTCTGGGTTTCAGTCCAGCTTCTTGTTAACGTATACTCTGGGAGGCAGCGGGTGATGAACCAAGTTCCTGGGTTCCTGCCACGCATGTGGGAGACTCAGACTGAGTTCCTGGTGCCTCATTTCAGCCTGGCCAAGCCCTGGCTAATGTGGGCATCTGGAGAGTGAATCAACTAATGAAGAACCCGTCTGTTGGGAGGGAGGGAGGGAGGGAAAAGAGGGAAGAGGGCAGAAGAGGGGAGGAGAAGGGGAGAGGGGAGGGAGGGAGGAGAGAGAAGAGGGAAGAGCGAAGAGGGCAGACAGGAGAGGGAGGAAGGGAGGGAGGGAGGGAGGAGAAAGGAGAGAGAAGAAGGAAGAGGGAAGAGGGCAGACAGGAAAGGGGGGAGGGGAGGGGAGGGGAGGAGGGGAGGGAGATGCCTGGAGAGGGGGAAGAAGAAGGTGGAAAGGAGGAAGGAAGGATCCACAGATGGGATGGAGCAAAGGAGGAATGGAAGAAGGGAGGGAGGAGGGAAGAGAGATGGAGATTCGATTATGATACAAACAAGGAAATAGGACAATAGTTGTGAGTCACGTTACTCTCTTGCCTTTGTCAATACCGTTTACTGTTGTTATCCTAAAATCAGCTGCGACATTATCCGACATCTACATTGTGGTACAAATGCAAGCCTTGAATTTTATCCCAATTTGAGTCTTAAAACTCTTAAACAGGCCGGCGCCACGGCTCATTAGGCTAATCTTCTGCCTGCAGCGCCGGCACTCCGGGTTCTAGTCCCGGTTGCTCCTCTTCCAGTCCAGCTCTCTGCTGTGGCCCAGGAGTGCAGTGGAGGATGGCCCAAGTGCTTGGGCCCTGCACCCGCATGGCAGACCAGGAGGAAGCACCTGGCTCCTGGCTTCGGATCGGTGCAGCACGCCGGCCATGGCAACCATTTGGGGAGTGAACCAACGGAAGGAAGAGCTTTCTCTCTGTCTCGCTCTCTAACTCTGCTTGGTTAAAACAACAACAACAACACTCTTAGATAAATGTCTCAAGCAGTATTACTGAGAGGTCAGGTGTCCAGACCAGACAGCTACTTATTCTGGATGCTCGGCAGCCCTGGAGACAGATCTGATGGATTAAAACCTACCTTCTGAGTGGCTTCTTTTTTCTTCTTATCCTCTTTCTTCCTTTTCTTGTCTTCCATTAACTGTTCTTCCCTTTCTTGCTCCTTCTCTCTGTGAAGGCAATGTCACACCAGAAGGTTAGGCATGCATCCTCACAACCCATTCCTGTAGCCAAGGAAACGCTTGTAAGGCGTCTGCCAGGCAACAGCTCCTCGCCGTGACTGAGCAGGACACTCGGCGTTACTCGCCGCATCTGGTAATTCCCACACCTTGGTTTATCACTCCCCTTATAAAGGATTAATCTATTTCCACACAGCAAAAGGCCTGACTTGAATATGACAATATCCATTGGCTTCTCAATATTTCTCACACACAACCAGTCTATTAGGTCAATGGCGGTGCACAGCTATGTGTCATAATTTATGTGTCCCCGTGACACCTTCAGGGTAGTGTACCTGGGAAAGTAGCAGAGGATGGCCCAAGTACTTGGGCCCCTGCACCCAGGTGGGAGATCCAGATAAAGTTCCTGGCTTTGGCCTGGCCCAGCCCTAGCCCTTGCAGCCATTTGGGGAGTGAACCAGTGGATGGAAGATCTCCCTGTCTCTCCCTTTCTCTCCATATTCTGTGTTTCAAGTAAATAAATAGATCTTGAAAAAAAAAAAAAAAGATAAACTGTTGTTGAAATCCACACCTAGTTTTTTCATAATATGTACTTTTCATGAACTTCTTTGAAAACAATAATATGCATGGATTTGAACAAAAAAATTTTTTTGCAACAAAATAAACTTACCCTTTAGTTCACTTTTCCACAGACTTTCTGGAGTATCCTCTGAGTAACCACTGGATGTTAACAACTTCAAGGCTAAGGTAAGAAACTCCAAACTCAGTCCTCACTGAATTTCAGAACTGCAAGGACAATCAGTGATGGAGCCCCCGTCCCCCAGAATGCTGGGCAGATACTGCCTGTGGTACTTAGAGATTTTTTTTTTTAACATTTAACATTTATTTATTTACTTGGAAGGCAGAGTGACAGAGAGAAAAGGAGAGACAGAGAGATCTTCCATCCACCAGTTTACTCCCCAGTTGCCTGTAACAGCCAGAGCTGGGCCAGGCCAAAGCCAGGAATTCCATGAGGGCTCCCACAGGGGTGCAAGGACCCAAGTATGTGAGGCCATCATCTGCTCCCTCTGAGGCACATCAGTAGGGAGCTAGACCAGAAGCAAAGAGTAACCGGGGCTCAAACCAGGCCCTCTGATACGGAATATGGATGACCCAGGCAGCAGTTTAACCCACGGAGTGCAATGCCTGCCCTCATTTTAGGGGGCCCAGCACACCAAATCATGATTCTTTTTTTTTTTTTTTATTTTTTTATTTTTGACAGGCAGAGTGGACAGTGAGAGAGAGAGACAGAGAGAGAAAGGTCTTCCTTTGCCGTTGGTTCACCCTCCAACGGCCGCCGCTGCAGCCGGCGCACCGCGCTGATCCGATGGCAGGAGCCAGGATCCAGGTGCTTTTCCTGGTCTCCCATGGGGTGCAGGGCCCAAGCACCTGGGCCATCCTCCACTGCACTCCCTGGCCACAGCAGAGAGCTGGCCTGGAAGAGGGGCAACCGGGACAGAATCCGGCGCCCCGACCGGGACTAGAACCCGGTGTGCCGGCGCCGCAAGGTGGAGGATTAGCCTATTGAGCCATGGCGCCGGCCACCAAATCATGATTCTACAGGTATCACCTAGAGTAAGGTCAAATTAATTAAGTTAAAGAACAAAGTTATGCAAATAACAGATATGCAAATAGGGCAAAACCCACCAAGATGGTTCCTGAAGGTGCTAAGTTTGGCAAGTGGAGATACAGTTCAAAACCCTCAGTTTGCACAGAAGCAACTTTGAACCAAAACCAAGGTCAGGCATGTGCACTTAATATTGTATTTACAGAGAGTAAGCCTTCTTTAATTGCTTTAGCTACAGTTGTCACTGCCTTTTTCCACAATCACAAAGATTGGCCTTTCTCCTTCTGTCGCTCTGGGTACAAATATACAAAATATACAAAATTTACATCCTTAAAGTAACCTGCATGAAAACTTTATGAATACAATCAGAGGAAGAGTTTACTTAATATTTGATGCTGGAGTCAGATTCTATATGCGTACATCAAAGTGTGAAACTCTGTACCACTTTATGGAAGTGACCGGGGGCTGGTGTTATGGCGAAGTGGATAAAGTGTGCTGCCTGAGATGCCCACATCCCGTATGGGCACTATTCCACTTTCGAGTTCCAGCTGTTCTACTTCTAATCCATCTCCCTGCTAAAGTGCCTGGGGAAGCAGCAGAGGATGGCCCAAGGGCCTCTGCACTACCTGGGAGACCCGGAAGCTGCTCCTGGCTCTAGCCTGACCAGCCCCAGCTGCTGTGGCCTTTTGGGGAGTGAACCAGCAGATGGAAGACCTTTCTGTCTCTCTTTCCCTTTCTCTCTCTAACTCTGCCTTTCAAACAAGTAAAATATATCTTTAAAAAAATGACCTTAGAAAACTGGCAGTATGGGCGCTGCCATCTGAGTCACCTGCTTCCACATCCTGTTACACTCCACTCTGAGAGTCTCTCTCTTCCTCTGGCTTCAGGCTGGGGTTCCTCATGCCCATGTTACTGATATTTGGTTTCCACATTTTATAGTGAAAACAACTACAGTAAAGAAGCAACCACAACCTGAATGTCTCTCCTACTTCAATGTTTAGTGCATTATAAAAGCACTAAGTTGCCACTTTTTCACAAATCTAAAATTATTCTGAAATCAAAAGTTTATCTGAAAAAATGCAATGTAAAAATAGCCTGCAAGTTTTTCCTGAGACACATTCTTAAAAAACAACTAACCTATTCAAGTATTTTTCCTACAACCAGGTAATTCAAGGAAGAGACTGAAAGTCATGCTCACTAGAAGGGGATTTATTTCCAGAACAAATATTTTCCAGAGCTTTCCAGGAGACGGCTGTGCTTGCACCCTGACTCTTGCCACGCATCTTGGTCGAGTGCAGCCTTCCCTTGCAATTTCACCTCCTTAGAAGAACCTGTTTTGCCAACCCAACTTACAAACCTGCTATGATTCCACGAATCCCACAGTGCAGGATTCGGCTTTCTTCTGGCTCAGCCTCTGGGGAGCTTCACCAGGCCCTGTGCTGAGTCATAGCCCATACACAGTAAGGAGGGCATCCCTGCAGGAGCTGACGGACGCCGGCTACGCGCAGGGCGACCAATCAATAAGTAAGACACAGATTGCTCACTGTTGAAAACCGGAGCTACCAAAAATGCAAATAAGCCCTGTAGGGTTGGATCCAAACTAGTTATTGGCATGAACTCAAGGCTTTCACTAAATGTAGACGGCTATCATACTGAACACAGAAGTCACCTTGCCTGCAGATTTCTGGGAGTATGTATTTCTTCACGCACACACACACCTAGCTCCATCAATGCAATGTTGAGATGGCAGCCAACACACGCAGCACCCAGGCTGGTGGCCTCTAACTATTAATATTTAATAAAAGAATCGGAGTTCTCTGGAAAAAGCGCTAATTCTATGGCTAGGGCGAGGGAAGTTCAAGATGGAACTAGACTATAGATTTGCCAAAAAGCAGGAAGTGCTCCAAGACTAGACCATGTTAAATAGTCTCAGAGGACAGGTCAGAAGGGGCTCCTACAAGCCAAATCTGGGACAAGACAAGCATCACAACAAATGACAGTAAGAGATGGTGAGCCACTACAGAAAACAGAGAAATATGAACTGACGCAGAGAGAATAAACCAAGTGATGAGGAACAGAATAGTCACAACTTCAAAGCATCTCCCATAAAATACTTCTTAATCAGAAAGGGGGAAATAGTACCAAGGAGAAGCCTGGCCGACACTATCTTAATCACCTAGGGCCCAAACTGAGACTGTGAATTACCTGGGACGATGCTGTGGCACCACGTCCGCCACATGCCTTTCAAACACGTGCGACCCAGCTATGACCAGGAGGAAACGCCGCGTGGCTCCCTGCCGAGGGGCACTCTACACGGCTACAGGGCAACGGGTGTGCGGTCATCAAGGACGTGCCAGGCAAGGAAAGACTGAGGCACTGTCCCACACAGGAATGGGACCAGAGACTTAACCCAGCACACTTTCCCTACTGGGGCGAGTGTCCCCCTTGAGGGGCTGCGAGCCAATGGCAGAAGTGGGTCACTGTTGCTGGGCCCCACCCCCACCCAGCGCACAGTCCCCTGCGGTTCCACAGGAATGTTCTTCTTTGTCAGAAAGACACTAGAAAGGGTTGTGGGAAGGGCTGCTGGCAAAGGGCAGTGGGTCAGCAGTTTATCCTCAAATGAATCAAAGGCTTTTTAAAATCATACAAGTCCAAACTCTGTAAATTCGAGATTGTTTCCAAAAAGAAAACAAGATCCAAACAAAAACCACAAAACGATTGCCCTGGCAGCACCCCAGATCAAGTCACAGAGAACTCTCGAGGGATTCCACCACGTGGCACTCACTACTGTTGAAAACTTCTGTTCTGAGTTCTAGTTTAAATCTACACTTTATGATATTATTACCTGGCTTCCACCTCAAAAATCCAATCTCCCATCCAGGGCCAAATACAAACACAAGGAGTGGGACCCGTTCTGCCATCACCCACTCATGAGAAGGGCATGAGAACTCACTCCCGTCCTCCCTCCCTCTTCTCCCAAATCGCCACGCGGTTCAGCCGACACGTCTGCTTAGTGTTCACTGAGGGTCTGCCACGTGCCAGGCAACACCATGGGCATCCACACTTCCTCGCCTGTGAAGACTCCCACGTGAGTGACCTGCAGGCACGTGTGGAATATGGAGCCCCTCAGACTCACAGCGCTCCAGACCTCCCAGTCACACCCAGGGCTGCCAGCCCAAACCCATCTCCTTCACTGAAGGGGGCGTGCTGTACCAAGGTTCTCTGTGCGTGTCCGGACAGGTGGATGTTAGGGAGCCCTCGCCCAGGAGCTGGGATCTAACACCAGGCACCAGCACTGGCCTCTGCAGTGGACAAGTCTGTTACCACTTCAGCTTACTTCTTGTCGGTCCTGGAGGAACAGGTGCTGCGTGGGTGAGCAAAGGAT